AGATTATTTATGCTAGTGTGAAATCAATTTAATGATACATTGTTATTTAACAAATGATAGCCATTTAAGAAAAAAGACCTGAAAATATTTTATATTTATTCCAGTATATGTGTCTATATTAATATTCAACAGCATTAGAACTATAATTGTAACTTGTGATTCTTATGTTTTGTAAAACATTTCCATTGGAATGTATTACTTTAACAATTTGCCTCTTTTTTTGAATTTAATGTAAAGAGTTTGTATTTTATACATTATTGGGATCTTAGAGTTCCAGTCCTGTCTCAGCTACTACCTACTTTTTTGGCTTTGAAAAGTCACTTAAATAAACTGAGCATTGGCCAGGTGTGGTGGCTCACGCCTACAATCCCAGCACTTTGGGAGGCCGAGGCAGGAGGATCACTGATCCAGGAGTTTGAGACCAGCCTCAGCAACATAGTGAATCCTCATCTCTACAGTTTGTTTTTTTTTAGCATTGGGTGTGGTAGCACACTGAACCTGGCTACTCGGGAGGCTGAGGTGGGAGGATCACTTGAGCCCAGGAGGCTGAGGCTGCAGCGAGCTGAGATGTGCCACTGCACTCCAGCTCTGGGTTAACACAGACCCTGTCTCTGTGAAAAGAAAGAAAGAAAGAAACTGATACCTACTTTCGATTCCTAAAATAAGTGAGCGACTAGATAATTTTTAGTTTATTCCAGTTGTTTGATTGTATGAGAATGCATTAATTATAGACCAAAGTATTATAAAAATGTTTAATTTAAAGCTGTTCCTATTTTATATTTCAACCTTAATTATGAACAGGAGCAAACACAACTATTATCTATAATATATTTTATTATTAGAATTAGAGCTATGTAAAGAGATTTCTTTTAATTCAGCTATGGATGTCATAAGAATATGCTTATTAGAATGTTTAGGATAAGTTTAGAGCAGCTGTGAAAGGACATAAACTATCGTCTGTAGAAAAAACATCAAGTTGCAGCTAGATGTCACCAAAAATCAAGGCAGAAAGGCTTCTCTCATGCTTCATGATGAGTCCAGCCAGAGTTTCCAAGGCAGATAAGACAGAGGCAGATCTACAGGTATGAGGTGTGAGTGAGGAGAATGTGGTGGGATGTACAGTTAGAGGTGTATATGAGAACATATATCGGTGTGTATAAGTATATATATAATGACTTTTATAAAAGTGACAATTTCAATAAGATCTTAAGCAAATTTGTAAAACCTTGGGTTGTAATTTGAAATGCAAGCTGCCCAATTCTCCTCTTCAGAACTCACAGCAAGGCTTCAAGCTTGGCATTTCACATATTTTAGACTTTTCATGATACCCTTTTGGTCATGAGGGAAGCCCATTGTAGTATGTTTAGCAGTATCCCTGTCCACCAGTAGGTGCCAGTTACCACTCTTTTTTCCTCCTGCTGTGACGACTAAAATGACTCTACATATCGTGAAATGCCCTCTTTAGGGCTAAATTGCCCTTTGGTTGAGAATAAACTGCTCACAGTGTAGCAACCTACTCTCTGGTCTCACTCTTTCATTAAACCTATGGCTGAAAAGCCATATATATATTGTGATCTGATGGCCTGCAGAGTTATTATATCAGCAAGGACCCTTTTGCGTGTCTGAAAAGATGTTGGGAGAAAATATTAGTATATGGAGCCCCCACTTGGTGTTGGGATCTGGTGGAGTATCGCTAAGGTTACATATAACCTTCTTCAGTGGAAATTGTCTGCTCCTTCCCTAAGGCATGGTATATTTTGTGGTTCTCTTTGTCTAATCCTCTTCCAGTGTCCCCATCCTCAACCCACCACATAGGTCTGGGTTCTTGTTGAAGATTTATATCAATGTATCATCTAAGACAAGAGGCTGGGATAATTGGGGCAGAGTATTTCAACAATATCTCTAATGACTTGGTTCCATTTTAGCTACAAGTGCATTTGTCATTAAATGTGTATATGATTGTCTGAGGAAAGTATTTATTTAATTCATTGTGCATAATTCCACTGTTTGGCACTTGTGGAAATTTAAATAAAAGGGATAACATACCAAAATTACAGGAACCCAGTTCCCGGGAAGTAGAAAAATAAAATAAGTTGTGTGGTAATAAATAAAAGTTATGATTTATAATTGTTTTAGGTATCTGCTGCTTTAAAAGTTGGTATATTAAGAAAAGTAATCAAGGCCAGGTGTGGTGGCTCACGCCTGTAATCCCAGCACTTTGGGAGGCCAAGGTGAGAGGGACATTGAGCCCAGGAGTTCAAGACCAGCCTGATAATACAGTGAAACCTCATTCTAAAGAAAAAAAATAAAACAAAATTAGCTAGGTGTGGTGCTTTTATGCCTATAGTCCCAGGAAGCACCAGAGTGTTGAGGAAGGATTGCTTGAGCCCGGGAGACAGGAGGAATGGAGGAAGTGAAGAGATTGTGCCACTGCACTCCAGCCTGGGTGACAGAGCTAAGATCCTGTCTCAAAAAAAAAAAAAAGAAAAGGAATCAAAGTACTCTAAAAGTCAAAGCAATAACTATGTAAAAATCCCTAATTTACCTCTAAAAATTGGGAAAGTTTTTTGAGAGCCTCTGCTACTCTGAAATATTCAACTTGTAAACCATAAAAATTAGTATTTGTTTTGTTTTTGTTTTTGAGATGGAGCCCCAGTCTGTCATCAGGCTGGAGTGCGTGGCATGATCTTGGCTCACTGCGACGCCTCGCTTCGGGTTCAAGCCGATCCTCCTGCTCTCAGCCCTCCTGAGTAGCTGAACTACAGTGGAGAAAATTATTGTTTGTTAATAATGTGATACTGAAATAGACATGAGCCATCAGACTACTTCCAAAAGCATTAGATGCTCTACTCTTTGTGAAATAATTTGTATATATGAGGACTGAATATATTAAGGTTGTTTTCTTGATGTTTATTTTTGCTTGGTTGGTTGTTGTTTTTTTGTTTGTTTGTTTGTTTGACCGAGGCTCACTCTATCGCCAGGCTGAGTGTGATGAGAAAATAATTTCAGGCTCCTAATCACTGAATATATTATGTTTTTTTTCATGTTTGCTTTGTTTGGTTGGTTTTTTTGTTTGTTCGCTTTTGTTTTTTGAGCTGGAGTCTCGCTCTGTCACCCAGCAGGCTGGGTGCAGGCAGGTGGATCTCGGCTTTGCTTTGTGAAACAAATTATATCTTCCAAAAATGGCCTGTGTTATTCTGGAACATTCCAGACTGTGGAAGAATGGTATCTTTTTCACTCAAGCAAATTACATTATTTTGCTTCCAACTTATGCTTTTAATTTAATTTTATTATTATTATTATTATTTATTTTTGAGGGAATTTCGCTCTTTGTTGCCCCGGCTGGAATGCAATGGCACACCTCGGCTCACTGCAACCTCCACTTCCCAGGTTCAAGCAGTTCTCCTGCTCTGGGCCTTCCTGGGTAGTTGGGATTAAGGCATGTGCCAATACGCTCAGCTAATTTAGAGATGAGTTTCACTATGTTGGTCAGGCTGATCTTGAACTCCTGTCCTTTGCAGGATTCGCCCATCTCCAGCCTCCCAAAGTGCTGGGATTACAGGCTTGAGCCACCGCGCCCAGCCTCATGTTTGCTTTTGTTATTCACAAGTTTTCGAGCAGAAAACTGGGTACAGAACACCACATGAGGCATTTTTAAGAAACCATAAAATTAGATTCCCCAAGTTCCCATGGTGTGCTGGTAATGGCCAACAACCACTCTCTAGAGTGTGAGGATGCCCTAATTTGTAGCATTTGCTGATTTCCAAGGTGTAAATACTCCTACCCTGGCCAATTTCAAGCTTCCAATGTGATGTCACTGCACGTGGAGTTGGATGCAGATACGCACAGTCAGCTTCTGCTAGCCAGTAAGCCGATTCCAGCACACCACTGTGACAATTTCTTACCTCAAGGACCTCGTAATCTTAGGTAGCTAGTCAAACAGCTAAAGTAGCATACAGAGCAGTTCATCTTCAAATGTAAGTGAGGCGAGTATAAAATGAGCACATAAACATTAAAGGGTGCTGAATAGAGATGGTAACAGAACCAGTTTTGGGTAGGTATTTGGAATACTTCCTGGGTGTTTGGAGCCTGTTTTTAAGGCCCAATAAGAATGGCTTATTATTCTAAGCATGAGAAACAGAGTGAACAAAAGCCTAGAGATAGATGATAAGCTTTTCTCATAGGGGAAGCAAGGAAATGAATTTAGCTAAGTAGAGGGCTCATTTAGGAAGAAGCCAAGAATTTAGATTTGTGGGAAAAAGAAACAGTGGTTGATCACAAATATTAGGCTAGGAAAAACAGCCATTGGTAGCGTAGATACTTCCTCATCAGGAAATTTCCATGGTTAGAAATTTGAAAAATATTTGTTATTAGCCATGTGTAGCTGGGGAAGATGAGAGACTGAAAAACTAGGAACGTATTATGGTGTTCTGTACTCTGAGTCAAGAGTAGTGTGACAATGGAAATGTGAAGGAGTGCCAAACTGGATTTGTTGGGTGATGGGGAGCATAGAGTAGGAAAAAAAAGAGGCAAAAATTATAAGAACAGTAACATGGCAGATAGTAATAAGAAAACTGGGAAAGTGCCTGTTTCAGCAATAAGGTAATCAGTTCCTTTTTAATTTATTTCACTGTAGGAATAATATGTATGAGAGAAAAAGGTTATAAAAATATTGAAGGATATAATAGGGTTATTAAGAGTCATCTCTGGCTGCGTGTGGTGGCTCATGCCTATAATCCCAGCACTTTGGGAGACTGAGGCAGGAGGATTACCTGATCCCAGGAGTTCAAAACTAGCCTCATCTCTTTAAAAACAAAAACAAAAAAACAGAGAGCGTCATCTCCTTAATGGTGTGATTTAATGAACTCTAGAGGAATCTTTATAACCCCTTTTAGGATATTCCAGAGGTTCAAGTTCAATCATGTCTCTTTTAAATAGATTACATTTTAGAGTATGAAATTTAGAATTGATTTATATATAATATACAGTTTCTTCCATGACAGTGTTTCACTCTGTTTATAATTTTCAATCACAGGTTATGGCACACAGCCTGTTTGGGAAAAGAAAATGAAATAATGGTATTTGGTGGGAGCAAAGATGACTTACTTGCCTTGGATACAGTAAGAAAATTTTATATCTAAATATGTCCTCTGAGTAGTTGTGTTATTCAGCCTAAATGGCTATTCAGCAAGAATGTTGATATTCCAACATTGCAAAATATGAAGGGCACGAAATGTTACTCTGTGGTTTAAATGATCTTCAGGATGACAGGCCTTTTTTTTTTTTTGAGATGGAGTCTTGCTCTGTCGCCCAGGCTGGAGTGCAGTGGCACGATCTCGGCTCACTGCAAGCTTCGCCTCCCAGGTTCATGCCATTCTCCTGCCTCAGCCTCCTGAGAAGCTGGGACTACAGGCGCCCACCACCATGCCCAGCTAATTTTTTGTATTTTCAGTAGAGATGGGGTTTCACCGTGTTAGCCAGGACAGTCTCGATCTCCTGACCTCATGATCCACCCGCCTCGGCCTCCCAAAGTGCTGGGATTGCAGGTGTGAACCACCGCGCCCAGCAAGAATGACTGGCTTTTATGAAGCCTTTCTGGATATTTTGAATTTACAAATCAAAATAGGTCTATTAATTTGATTAGCCAAATTATTAAGAAGACCTTTTAAAGGATAAGTCCTCTTTCTCTTTTCTCTTACATGGGTTTCTCTAATATTACTGAATTAAAATATTTGTATGTAGGCCAGGTGTAGTTGCCTATGCCTCTAATCCCAGCCCTTTGGGAGGCCAAGGCAGGCAAATCACTTGAGGCCAGGAGTTCGAGACCAGCCTGGTCAACACAGCAAAAACCCATCTCCACTAAAAATACAAAAATGACCCAGGTGCGGAGACGCATGCCTGTAGTCCCAGCTACTTGGGAGACTGAGGCATGAGAATCGCTTGAACCCAGGAGGTGGAGGTTGCAGCAAACCAAGATCATGCCATTGCACTCCAGTCTGGGTGACAGAGCGAGACCCTGTCTCAAAGAAATACATATTTGTATCTAATACTTGATACATAAAAAGAATATTAATCATGTAGATTCTAAGTATAATAAATACCCATGAATTTTGTTAGTTATTTTAGAGTTAGAACATCATCAGTACTGTTGAAGCCACTTGATTATTCCTTCTGAATCTTACCTCCTAGCTTCTTCCCTCAAGAGGAGACTACTTTGTTGAAATATTTCAAGTATATTCTTTTTTATTTTTTTGAGCCAGGGTTTCGCTGTTACCCAGGCTGGAGTACAGTGGCATGATCTCGGTTCACTGCAACATCTACCTCCTGAGTTCAAGCAATTCACCTGCCTCAGCCTCCCAAGTAGCTGGGATTACAGGTGTGTGCCACCACGCCTGGCTAATTTTTTGTATTTTTAGTAGAGATGAGGTTTCACCATGTTGGTCAGGCTGGTCTTGAACTCGTGACCTCAAGTGATCCACTCACCTCAGCCTCCCAAAGTGCAGGGATTACAGGCATTAGCACCGTGCCTGGCCTATTCTCTTTTTTACTGTGTATCTTTTACCACTGCTTTACTCAGCTGTTTTACATTTAGTTTAAAGCATTGCAATTTTAAAATTTGATTAAACTAAGGTCAAAGGTATAAATGAATAGCATTTGGAGAGTATGGTTCTTTCACTCCTAGCACCCTGGGAAATTCAGAGCAGGGCAGCCATATTTATATACTATACACAATGGGACAGTTCAGGAACGATTTGTCTGGTTTCGTGTAGTGCACTCAAAAATAGAGCATTCTGAGCCATCAGGGATGGGGAACTGCGAGCCAGAGCCTAACCCAGAGGGCAATAGCTCCCTTTCATCTCTTGAGGCGCAGTTATCTCCAGAGCTTCTCCTATGGAGTGGCAAACTCCAAAATAGGATGGCTTCTCTCCAGGGAATTTGCTTTATTTTGTAGTTATGAAGCCCCTAACTTAATTATTTTGTATATTGAAAGTTTTAGAGCTTTCTTTGGCTGAGATTTCAGTGCTTCACTAAAAGATTAAAACTACAACTTTGCATTTATTAAAAAAGCAAATTTTGTGGTTTGTCTTCTCTTTCTTGGCACTAGAAATCTTCATTTAGGATGCAAAGTTTATCATGAAAATAGGAATTCTGATTAAAAGTATGATCATAAATTATGAAATTCTAAAGACCTATTTGAAAGGTTTAGATAAATTTTCTGTGACTTTTCTACCACATTAACTTTTAGATGAGAGAGTCATTATTCAAATAATCTTGAGATCTTGACTTTCAAATTAAGAATTCCCAGGGAGGACTGGGCATGGTGACTCACGCCTGTAATCCCAGCACTTTGGGAAGCAGAGGTGGGCAGATCACCCTGAGGTCAGGAGTTTAAGACTAGCCTGGCCAACATGGCAAAACCCCATCTCTACTAAAAATTACAAAAATTAGCCAGGGTGTGGTGGTGTGCACCTGTAATCCCAGCTACTCAGGAGGCTGAGGCAGGAGAATCACTTGAACCTGAGAGGCAGAGGTTGCAGTGAGCCGAGATCACACTACCGCACTCTAGCCTGGGCAATAGAGTGAGACTCCAAACTAAAAAAAAAAAAAAAAAAAAGGATTCCCGGAGAATCCTGAGACCACCTGGAAAAGGAGGACAAGGTAAAGAGGAAATTTTAACATATGAGTTATTTGAAAGAAAAAGTTCAGCTTAAAAACAAAGCGCCAGGCATGGTGGCTCACACCTGTAATCCCAGCACTTTGGAAGGCTGAGGCCAGTAGATTGCTTGAACTCAAGGCAACCTGGTGAAACCCTGTCTGTACAACAGCTGGACGTGGTAGCCTGTTCCTGTAGTCCCAGCTACTTGCGGGGCTGAGGTTGGAGGATGGCTTGAGCCAAGAAGACAGAGGTTGCAGTGAGCTCTGATTTCCCAGCCTGGGAAAGAGAGCCAGACCCTGTCTCCAAAAAAAAAAAAAAAAAGGTTTTGAAAACACTATTGGGCTGGGTGTGGTGGCTCACGTCTGTAATCACAACACTTTGGGGGGCTGAGGCAAGTGGATCACCTGAGGTCAGGAGTTTGAAACCAGCCTGGCCAATATGGCGAAACCTAGTCTCTACTAAAAATACAAAAAAAAAAATTAGCCAGCCATGGTGGTGGGCACCTGTAATCCCAGCTACTCAGGAGGCTGAAGCAAGAGAATCGCTTGAACCTGGGAGTTGGAAGTTGGAGGTTGCAGTGAGCGGAGATTGTACCACTGTACTCCAGTCTGGGCGACAGAGTGGGACTCCATCTCAAAAAAAAAAAAAAAAAAGGAAAACCACTACTGTTATTTTTTAACTCACTTCTTGGTGAAGAATGTATTTCTTATTTTCAAATTTGCAATTACGTAGGCTATTGGTTAGGTAAAAATGTGGTCACTGAAAATTGGAAACCACAAACTCAAAGTTTGTAGGTAGCAGGTATGTGTATCTACGTGTATGTTTATGTGTGTGCGTGAATTTATGTATCAACAGCTAGAAAGATTTATTTGCTGCCTTATACAATCTTTTACGTTTATAAAATTAAAAAACATTCACTTATTGTTATTTTTATCAAAAACTCAATAATGCCTTTTTTATGTTGATTAGGGTCACTGTAATGATTTATTGATCTTTCAAATACAGCCTTATTCGCTACTCAGGTAAGCAAATTTAATATTTTCTATATATTTGCTATGAATATATGATAATTTCTTTCTCATTTTTGGAAAGAGTTGAAATAGTTTTCAGGTTGTTTATGACATGAATTCAGGACTATGTTCACATCTTCTTAAGAGTATAATCAAATTTATAATGGCGAACTATACACCAATGTGAGTTTTAAAAATTAAAATATACTGGCTTGGTGTGATGGCTCACACCTGTAATCCGAGTGCTCTGAGAGGCCAAAGCAGGAGGATCACTTGAGGTCAGGAGTTCAAGATCAGCGTGGGTAACATCATGAAACCCACATCTCTACAAAAAAAAAAAAAGTAGCTGGCATGGTTGCTCACGTGTGTAGTCCTGGCTACTGTGGCTACTGGGGAGACTGAAGTGGGAGGATGGCTTGAGCCCAGGAGTTTGAGGCTGCAGTGAGCTATGATCATGTTTTCTGCACTCCAGCCTGGAAATAGACTGAAAGCCTGTCTCAAAAATAAATAAATAAATATTTATTACACACACATATATACATACATGTGTGTATATGTATTTTGTGTGTGTGTGTGTATGTATACATACAATACAGTCACTGTTTTGTTTGTAAAATTGCTTTTAGTTTATATGGTAATATTAAACTTACTATATTTCCTTAATTCTAAGCCTGACATTTTTCACATTTTAACTTTTTGGAAATTAGAATGTGCCTAAAAATATATATCATGTATATGTTATATACAGTCATTCCTTGGTATTTGTGGGAATCGGTTCCAGGAAAACCCCCACTTGGATACCAAAATTCATGAATGCTCAAGTCTCTTATATAGGGTGATGTAATATTTGCATATAAACCTATGCCCATCCTACTATATACTTTAAATAATCTCTACTTTACTCATAATTCCTAATACAATTTAAATACTATGAAAGTAATTGTTACACTGTATTGTTTTGGGCATAATTACAAGAAAAAAATGTCTGTACATGTTCAGTACAGATACAACCTTCATAGGCCTAACTACATTTTCAATCTGCAGTTGGTTGAATCCACAGAGGAGGAACTTACAGATACAGGGGGCTGACTGTATATATACACATACACAGACATTTAATATCGAAGAATTTCTTTTTTTAACCCCAAAGCTAGTATTAAGTTGGTGATATGATTTATAGTGTCTTAGCTCATACATTCTTGCTCTAAAAGGAGTCCATACAAAGTTTAGTGGGAGGATTATGGAAGAAACCCCTATTTCTGTCTGTGAGAGTTGGGAGAAAGGATTTGAGAGATGTAGAAGTTGCCCAGTGAACATGTGTGGGAATTTTATGCAGAAGGAATAACATAAGCGAAGACATATGAGAAAGAGAGAGAGAAAGAGAGGGGACATGCTATATTTCAAGGAGTATACTGTAACATTTAGATGTTCTATAACATGAACCACTTAAAAACCATTAGACTAGCTCAAACTGGACCTTTCTAATATCTTTCTTAACTACCCCTTCTCTTCGCACAGTAGTTCTCAAACTAAACTCTCATGAGGGGCTTCAAAAAAATTAATGCCTGTGTTCTGCCCCCACAGGTGGTGATTTAATTAGTCCAGGGTGTGGCCTGCACTTTGGATTGCAAGTTCCTCATATGCAGGGATCAAGAAACACTTGAGTGCCTACTTGGGAAGGCACTGTGCCATGAAATAAAAAGGCATAGCCTTTCCCTAAAATTGCAAATAATATAGAAGGTAGACTGTCAAGCTTTCAGACTTTTTCTACAATAGAAAAAGGAAATTGCCTTAAAAGAAACATATACAAAGTTTATGAGAATACTGGAGAAGAAGGCATTTTGTCTGTCTATGATTAAGATGGCAGAGGTTAGGGAAGTCTTCACAGAAGAAGGGTTTGAGCTAAGAATTTGCCATGAACAAACAATGAAAGGGTGTTAGTGTAAAGATATATAAAAAAGCATAGTGTGTTCTGGAAACTGAATTCTTCAGCATCCCTGGAATGTAGTATGAGGCAGAGAGTTGCAAGAAATGATGTTGGGCAAGAAATCAGAAATCATATGTCATCTAGAACTTTATCTCTCTTTTACAGTATCTGGTGTAAAAGAGATCAAGAGCCATTCAAAAATTTGGAGCAAGAGAATAAGATGATCATATTACAAGTTAGACAATTCCTCTGGCAACAGAGTGGATGAAAAATTGAAGGGATATGTGACTGGGTAAAGAAAATCGGTAAAGAGACTATTACAATGGTCAGGTACAGAGTGAATGTCTGATTTGGAAAGTATCAATGGCGCTGGAGAAGGAAGGGAGATGGAGATATTTAGGAGGGAGAATGGACTTGGTAGTTAAATAGATGCCAAGGAAAAGGAGTGGGAAGAATTAATGATAGGAATATAGAGAAAGGCAGTGGTCTGAAGATGGGATAAGGGTAGAAATGATGAGTTTGGTTTTGGATGTGCTAAGTGTTTATGGGAACTCCAGTGGAGCTATCCATTAAATGCTTAAATATATGGAAAGAGGTCTGGGCCAGACATAAAATTTCAGAATCATTGGAGAATTAGTAAGTGTGGATTAGCTCTGGCCAGGAGGAGTTTTAGGAGTAAGGAGGAAGCCAACAACTCAACATTAGGAACTTACTACGTTTGAGAGGTAGGGAGAAGAAAAGGAGGCAGCAAGAGAGTGACCAGAGAAGTTGAAGGCTAGCCAGGAGATAATGGTAGCACAAAAACCAAGAGAAGGGAGATCTGAACAAGGAAAGACTACTGTAAAGAGATCCCATAATATTTGGATTGAAAAGCACTGTGGATAGTACACATTTTCCCTCGTCTCCATTTTCACAGTCAAGGATCCAGTGTCTGTAGTCTCACTCCTCACCACTGCTTCCAGGTTATATCATTTCACATGCAGGTGTTGCCATCCACTAACCTCTGGCTCATTTTCCCCCAGTCACTGAAGACTTTGACCCTGGCTCACTACAGTCCCTTTTCGTGACTGGTTTTAGCATCTGTGTGGAGAACGCTTTTCATTCTTTATGATCTCGCTCAGGACAGTTCCACCTGTGAAATCTTAAACTCCCATCCTCCTCTTGGACCAGAAACCTCTTATCCTTTTAATTCTTACACTCCCTTACTGCTTGGACTCTTCTGGGTTCTCCAAATAATAAGACTCTTCCAGTTTTAACTTTCTTTCGTATCAGCCTGGATTCATCTGCACTTCTTTCCCTTGCCAACAATTTTAATCCCTTTCTCCACCGTTTCTCTGTTGGTGAAGGTGGAAGCCAGGATGACTAGGGGAAGAGCACCAAGACCAAGGGAGGATGAGTATGTTTGTTTATATGCTGGTTGGGCAAGAGAAGCCAATGGAGAGTAGGTTGTTAGAAACAAGAAAATGTAGGAAAAGTGGGTAGAGCAGTGTCTTGAGAAGGTAGTTTTAGCAAAAAGATTTTAAATTAGTCCTTGACTGGAGAAAGGATTCTTTTCTTTAAAATAGTGGAGAAAGAAGGAAGTATGGATATATAGATAAAAACTTTTTTTGGTTGAGGCAGGACATTGAAGTTCCACTTGATAGTGAGGTCATCCTGATAAGAGAAAAGAGAAGTGAGGATAAGAGCTTAAGATGAATGGTGAAGATTTGAAGTAGCTGCTAGGTGACTGCAAGAAGATGCTGACTTCTGTCTGTGGGATATATAACAAAGGAGCACGCAGCTGTGATAGAATATCATCAATATGTAGTGGCACCATAGCTGAGAAACATGGCTTTCCCCAGTAGCACTAAGCAGCCCGGTTGCAGGTGCAGAAAGGAGATGACCGGCTGAATTTATCCATCATTACAGTTTGGCTGGGATGGGTAACAGAAATGGTGGAGAAGGGGATTAAAATTGCTGGCAAGAGAAGGAAGTGCAGGGAACTAGGCTGGATATGAAAGAAAGTTAAACGGGACAGGTCTTATTATTTGGAGAACCCAGAAGAGTCCAAGCAGTAAGGGAGTGTAAGAATTAAAAGGATAGGCGAGTAGCGGTGGCTCAAGCCTGTAATCCCAGCACTTTGGGAGGCCGAGACGGGCGGATCACGAGGTCAGGAGATCGAGACCATCCTGGCTAACCCGGTGAAACCCCGTCTCTACTAAAAAATACAAAAATCTAGCCGGGCGAGGTGGCGGGCGCCTGTAGTCCCAGCTACTCGGGAGTCTCGAGGCAGGAAAATGGCCTGAACCCGGGAGGCGGAGCTTGCAGTGAGCTGAGACCCTGCACTCCAGCCACAGGCGACAGAGCGAGACTCCGCCTCAAAAAAAAAAAAAAAAAAAAAAAAAAAAAAAAAAAAAAGAATTAAAAGGATAAGAGGTTTCTGGTCCAAGAGGAGGATGGGAGTTTAAGATTTCACAGGTGGAGACTGTCACAGGCGAGATCATAAAGAATGAAAAGGGTTCTCAAGATGCTAAAACCGTCCCACGAAAAGGGACTGTAGTGATCAGGGCCAAAGTCTTCAGTGACTGGGGGAAAATGAGCCAGAGGGTCTTATTATTTGGAGAACCCAGAAGAGTCCAAGCAGTAAGGGAGTGTAAGAATTAAAAGGATAAGAGGTTTCTGGTCCAAGAGGAGGATGGGAGTTTAAGATTTCACAGGTGGAACTGTCCTGAGCGAGATCATAAAGAATGAAAAGGGTTCTCCACACAGATGCTAAAACCAGTCACGAAAAGGGACTGTAGTGAGCCAGGGCCAAAGTCTTCAGTGACTGGGGGAAAATGAGCCAGAGGTTAGTGGATGGCAACACCTGCATGTGAAATGATATAACCTGGAAGCAGTGGTGAGGAGTGAGACTACAGACACTGGATCCTTGACTGTGAAAATGGAGACGAGGGAAAATGTGTACTATTTTCTCAAGAAAGCTGCACACACAACAATTTTCTTAGATTTCAGAAAGTCAGAGGAAGCAGGGGTGCTTACAGAACATACAATTGGTGTTCCAAAAAGCAGAAAACCCAGGTTTGGGAGGGAAGATAAGCAGTAATGCGGTAGATGAAGAAATGTAGAAATGATAGAAAGTGGCTTATATTGTCTAGTAGATTTGTGGGATCATGCTCATCATACCTTTGGATATAAAAGAATATTATAAGAAATTAAAAGAAATAGCTATATTATTCTGATTGTAAAAAGATGTATTTACCAAGAAAATTCATACAATATGAAAAGTATATGGTAAAAAAAAATCACCTATGAACCATTGTAGGGGACATATATATATACATGTATTAGCAAAATTATAAAAATTGTACATGTATATATATGTGTGTGTGTATATGTGTGTGTGTGTATATATATATATTTACACACACACACTGAGAGAGAGTTTGTTTGGTTTTTTTTTTTTGCTTTTTTTTTTCTTTTGAGACGGAGTCTCATTCTGTTGCCAAGGCTGGAGTGCAGTGGTTCAATCTTGGCTCTCTGCAGCCTCCGCCTCCCAGGTTCAAGCTAGTCTTCTGCCTCAGCCTCCCGAGTAACTGGAATTACAGGCACGCACCACCACACCCAGCTAATTTTTGTATTTTTAGTAGGGACGGGGTTTCACCATATTGGCCAGGCTGGTCTCGAACTCCTGACCTCATGATCTGCCCGCCTCGGCCTCCCAAAGTGCTGGGATTACAGGCGTGAGCCACACCGCCCAGCAGAGAGAGATTTTATATATAAATCATTTATATAATGATCAATATATAACCATATAAACATGATTTTAATGATTTTATTAAATGATTAGAGTGGACTTAATCATGCTAAGAGGTCATTGGAAACCTCAGCAAGAACAGCACACATATATGTATATATGAGTGTGTATAAAGGATCAAATTATGCAGGCTGTTTTGTTATATCTTTCATGTAAATAATCATTCAATGTAATAAATCTATACTTGTTAGTGATGGCTATATAGGTTCTATCCCGTGGAAATACAATTTATTGGCTAGGTGCAATGGCTCAAGCCTGTAATCCCAGCACTTTGGGAGGTCGAGGCAGGGGGATCACCCAAGGGCAGGAGTTTGAAGTTCGAGACTAGCCTAGCCAAAGTGGTGAAACCCCATCTCCACTAAAAATACAAAAAAATTAGCTGGGTGTGGTGGCATACGCCTGTAGTCCCAGCTACTTGGGAGGATGAGGTGGGAGAATTGCTTGAAACTGGGAAGCGGAGGCTGCAGTGAGCCGAGATCATATTACTACACTCCAGCCTGGGCAACAGAGTGAGACTCCGTCCCAAAAAAAAAAAAACAAAAAACAAAAAACAAAAAACAAAAAAACCATTTATTAACTAGTCTATTAATAGATATTTAGGATATCTGCAATTTGGGGCTATTATAAAAATTAGGCATGAGGCCGGGCACAGTGACTCATGCCTGTAATCCCAACACTTTGGGAGGCCGAGGTGGGCGGATCACTTGAGGTAAGAGTTCAAAACCAGCCTGGCCAACATGGCGAAACCCCATTTCTATTAAAAATACAAAAATTAGCTGGGCGTGGTATGGCGCACACCATAATAGCAGCTACTCAGGAGGCTGAGGCAGGAGAATCGCTTGAACCCAGGAGTGGGAGGTTGCAGTAAGCTGAGATCAGGCCACTGCACTCCAGCCTGGGTAACAGAGAAAGACTCCATCTCAGGGAAAAAAAAAAAAAATTAGTCATGAAATATTCTTATATATTCCTATGGAAGGCTGACATATCACCTGTTGTATTGTGATGATTCCTGCTTGGCTCCTACTGCCAGAGACAAACTGCAGATTCCTTCGAGTGGTACTCAGGGCCTCCATTTATCTGTCTCACTTCTGGCCATGCCCCACTCTAATGCTCTGCCCTCCAGCTGTATTTAGACAATAGAAGTGCAGTTTCTGTAATCTTATTTCTCATCTCTAGGGCTTTGCCAGTGTGGTTCTTCTAGCTGGAATACCTTTGTTTCTTTAATTTGTTGAGGACCTCAAGGTCTCAGCTTGGACCTCCCATCGGGAGTGTTTCCCTGGGCTTGCTAAGGTTGTCTTAGTTATTCTTTTCCTCTGATTCCCACAGAACCCTGTACCTGTACTTCGACCTCCCAGGACATTTTAACTCACTTCTTGTTTAGAGTTGTTCCAGAGTGGAGGGAAAAAGCTTCATAAGAGTATGGAAGAACATCTAAATCTCTAAGAGTCTAAGTGCTTGTAACAATGACAACTAAACCACAGCAGAATCAAATGAGTCTGTTAAAAAAAATTTTTAACACTTATTTTTTGAATTAAAGTTTATTAATTGAAACAGATGCTTTTTTGATAGTTCTTAAGTTTCTTTTGGTTTTAAAGTACAAAATCCTCTTCAAAATAGCATAAGATTTAAAAGGGCATTGTACTTGGAAGGATACTGCCCTCTAGTCTAATGGAATCAAAGGGAAAAGAAATGAACACCCAGGCCCCCAGAAGAGTAGAAACCCAAGTGATCTCTTGGCACTTTCTTTATTGCTCCATTCCTGTCTTTCAACCTGCTCTCTCTGGTCACATAAGTCAAGTGTGTAACCCCCGTGCAGTTGTTTATGGAGAAAACATGGAGCAGATATAAAAATAGATGTTAGATGTTTCATCTTGAGTTGACAGAAGCAAAGGGCAGTTCTGAGAGAAGGGTATATGGTTACTGGGCTGATTGAAAGGATAACATAAACAGGAGCTGCTGTAGACTCATCTGGTTTGAAATTAAGTCTGAATCATTTTTACTTAAAGAACATTATGCATGGTAAGCCGTATATTCTGTTTCCGTTGGATTTTGGTCAGATTTAGTCTCTATGCTATAAAAATATATGATTATTGTGGTGCTCTGGGGAAAAAAATCCTATCATGTTCCAAACAAGACAAATGAATGCATTGCCATATAAAATTTGTATGATGATTTTAAATTTTAGGAATACTTAACTATAACAAAGGATAAATGTTTGAGGGGATGGATACCCCATTTTCCATGTCATGATTTTTTTTTTTTTTTTTTTTTTTTTTTTTTTTAGCACAAACACATTTCTTTATTAACCAAGGGATGATCCTAATTAATCCAACACACTTTGAAATAGCTACATGTAAAATGTTTGTGATAAAGATAATTGAACACAGTAATGAAAAAAAAAAAAAAGAAACAGTATGGAGATTTGCTCATTGAACTGAGCTTGGTCATTCTCTTAGTTAATTCCTGTCCAAAGTGATGATGGAATTTTTATTCTACTTTTTCATAGATCCGAGTACAGGTGACATTGTTCATGACACAGTCCACCACTAATTTCCCATCTTTCAATTTTCTTGTTATTGTGCTTTCCTTCCCATCCCACTCCTGATGCTGAACCAATGCACCATCTGTAAAGCTGCAGACAGTCTGAGTTTTTCTGCCATCAGCTGTGGTTTCTTCAAATTTCTCTCCCAGGGTACAAGAAAACTGTGTTGTTTTCAAAGTGCTCTCAGTTTTTATGGTGAGGTTTTTGCCATCACAAGTGATGATACAGTCTGGCTTCGCCATTGCGCCCATTTTTCGCAAAGCTATTCCCACTCCTAGCTCCTTCATGTATTCATCAAAGCCTTTGCTATCCACCAGGCGCCATCTTCCTTCCAGCTGCTGAACTGTGGCCATGGTGGGCGCGGGCGGGCTGACGTGCAGAGCGGGGTCGGCGTCGGCGTGGCAGCGTGCTGTGAGGTCATGATTATTATGCATTGCGTATCTGTGTCAAAACATCTCATGTACTGCATAAATATATATACCTACTATGTACTGACAAAAATTAAAACTGAAAAAAGGTGCAAGTCCAGTACTACAATGTTAAAAAAGAAAGAATTCTTAACTATAAATCTTTCATATTATAACCTCAGGTTCAAGACTAATAATTCTGTTATGTTTTATTTACAGGTCATGCCTTGACTGCATTGGTAAAAATTCTATCATGTTAGAAAGTCAGATATCTTTATTACCTCCTAAACTTCTGCAACAAGTACTCAAAAAAATAACATTTTGGGCTGCAGCTAATCACCGAGAAGAACAAAGAGTCCAAAAAGAAGAAACAGAAAAGAAGTATCAGTGGATCAGTAGCAATTAAATTGTTATATACTCTACTATTTAGTATGTCTTAACATTTTAATCAGACTGTACATTTACACTCCTAAATTGCAGGCTCTATTTAAAGGATAAAATTTGGAATACAAATACTCTGTTAAGTGACTATATGCCATGGGATATATGAAAAAAAGATGTTAATGCAGATTAATTTATATTTGTAAACAAATTTCCTTACAAGCTACAGAACAATTATTCTTTCTGAAAGTAAGTATAGTTATAACAGATTTTAACTCAAATATGTATTCTTTACTGGAAAGATTACATACATTTGAGAATAAGAAATTACTCAAAAACTTCAGAAATCCCCAACGTAATTTCATAAATATATAAATACATGTATGTATGCAAAAACACTACATATACACTTTCAGAAAGAATAAACTTTCTCAAGTCATTTTAAAGTAACCTAAGGTTCTCCTTGAATAACTAATACAGTGGGCCAAATATTATAAAATAGGCAAACACCAGAATGGTATTAAGTATTGAACTCCTGCCCTTTTTGACACTTACCTAGTAAAGTATTCTTAGGCATCATCATAACTTTTCCTCACCTTTATTCGAATAGAGGAATAAATGTCTTCAATTGTCTCTCCATTACCCCTAAGTTATTAGTTTGTCTAGTTTATATATAAAGACCATGCTTTAAAGTACATAAAGTGGAGGTTTATTTATCATACAGGCTTTGAAACATTGAGAAGCAGTATTTTTATTAACTTTTTGAGACATATTAAAATACATTTTGCCTTAGAAGACTGCTTCTAAAGTAATTTTTGTAAGTAATGAGATGGGATGGTAATCTAGTAATTTGACTTTATAGAAACCCCTCAGTTTGGCCCATACCATTCCACAGAGTTGTGCTCAAGACAGATACTGAAAAAATCTCATACCTTCCATTTTATTTTCAGCATTACCGTCCCTACAGAAATAGAACACTGTATCTTTATATTCCTAAAAATGGTACTTTTGGCATAATTAAGAAATTTTTCTTCATATTATCACAATCATGCCCTTCCATTGAATTACTAATTACAATTAATTACTAAAAAGCTTGGTATATGAAATTATTCTCCACAATATTACCATGCAAGTTATCTCTGAAATTTAAAATGTTAAAGAAAAATATTTCTATATTGAAATATATATAATTTATAAATGAAGATTATAGTAGTTTGTAGTATTTCATTGAATTTTAGAGAGATATTTCATATATATTTACTGTATTTTGGATGTGTAAAGCTTCTATTTATGTATTGAAATTTTTTTTACATTTTATTTATTGTACAAAGTATATGTGATTACTGTCTTCGTTTTTGTCAGTGTAAAGCAGTCATTAGAATTGATTGTACAAAAAATATTTCATTGTCAGTTTTCATTTTTCTCACTATTTTTAGGCTGAGTAACAGATTTAGAAAATGAATCTCACAAGTAATTCACATCTTGGAAATAATTACCTTATTATGCTATGATGCTGATGAACTTTAGCATCAGTCTTTTATATTTAAGGCAAAAATATATCAAAATCTGATTAGATATTGATAGATGACATTGAGCAGAAGGAACACCGTTTTAAAATGGCTTCTGGATTATGTGAATGCCTTCGCCCGCCTCTTAGAAGAGCACCTCTATTTTTAAATGGTGTATTTGGAACATTAAAAGTTGGATTAGCCCCCTCAAAATACACAGTCTGATGGGCTTTAAGAGAATGAAAATCTGGCCAGGTGCAGTGGCTAACGGCTGTAATCCCAGCATTCTGGGAGGCTGAGGCAGGAGGCTTGCTTGAGGCCAGAAATTCAAGACCAACCTGTCTGTTAAAAAAACAAAAAACAAAAACTCAGAATATTACAGTTGTCAGAAAGGATTCTTTTAAGGTTATTATTATTTTTAGTGTGATATAATAGCACATCAAAATTAGTGTACTTTTTTTCCAAATAGTATTTTTGCAAAAACACCTTTAGAAATATTTTTTAGAGGCTGGGCATGGTGGCTTATGTCTGTAATTCCAGCACTTTGGGGGGCCGTGGTGGACAGATCACTTAAGGCCAGGAGTTCGAGACCAGCCTGGCCAATATGGTAAAACCCTTTCTCTACCAAAAATACAAAAATTAGCTGGGTGTAGTGGCATGCACCTATAGCGCATATATATATACACACACACACACACACACACACACATCCATCATATATATATGAGATGTGTATATACTTTGGAACTTGTACTGTCAGCTGACACACACACTGATGTTTTCATCAATGTGGGTTTTGTTTTTTTGTTTTTTTTGGAGACAGAGTCTCACTCTGTCACCCAGGCTGGAATGCAGTGGTGTGGTCTCAGCTCACTGCAACCTCCGCCTCCCAGGTTCAAGCAATTCTCGTGCCTCAGTCACCCAAGTAGCTAGGATTACAGGTGTGTGCCACCACGCCCAGCACTAATTTTTGTATTTTTAGTAGAGACGGGGTTTTGCCGTGTTGGCCAGGCTGGTCTCAAACTCCTAACCTCAAGTGATCCGCCTGCCTTGGCCTTCCAAAGTGCTGGGATTACAGGCATGAGCCACCATGCCCAGCCACCAGTGTGTTATTTAAACATGTATGTGAGAGAAATAAAGTCACTGTGATAGAATAATTGTCAGGGTAGTGCATACTATTGATGAATTAAAATTTAGATTTCAGAATTTCTGGGAGGAAAAGCAATTTTAAGGAGCAGATGATCCCCATACCCACGTTTTTTGGTGCCTCTTTCCATTGTATTAATTTAATTCTTTTGGAATTTCCACTTTGATGAAGTTGCCATACAGTCCAGCATGTGGGCACAGCATGATTTTTTCAAATCATTCAATGTCTGTTGTTTACATTATGGCTCATTCTTGGTATTGTATATTCTATGGGTTTTGACATGTATATAAGGACATGTATTCACCAGTGTAGTATCATACAAAATAGTTTCACTGCCCTAAGAAATCCTCTGTGCTCTGCCTGTTCATTCCTCCCTCTTCTCTAACCCCTAGAAACCACTGACCTTTTTACTGTTTACATAGTTCTGTCTTTTCCAGAATGTCATATAGTCATACTGGCTTCTTCACTTAGCAGTATGCATTTACATTTCTTCCATTTAGCTTCAAAGCTTTATAGCTCATTTCTTTTTAGAGTTGAATAATATTCTATTGTCTGAATTACCACAGTTTATCCATTCATCTACTGAAAACCATCTTGGTTGCTTCCAAGTTTTGGCAATTAGGAATAAAGCTGCTATAAACATCTGTGTGCAAGGTTTTGTATAGACATAAGTTTTCAGTTCATTTGGATCAATACCAAGGATCAAGATGGTTGAATCATATGGTAAGAATATATTTAGTTTATTAAGAAACCACCAGACTGCCTTCCAAAGTTTCTATACTCGATGAATGAGAGTTCCTGTTGCTTCACATCCTTGCCGGCATTTGGTATTGTCAGTGTTTTGGGTTTCTTTGTTCTTTGTTCTAGTAGATATGTAGTGGTATCATATTGTTTTAATTTGCTATTTCCTAATGACATAGGATGTTGACATTTTTCATATGCTGACTTGCCATCTATATATCCTTTTTGGCGAGGTGTCTGTTCAGGTCTTTTGCCCATTTTTCAATCAGGTTATTCATTTTCTTATTGTTACGTTTTAGGAATTCTTTGTATATTGTAGATAACAGCCCTTTATCAGCAGTGACTTGCAAAATTTTCTCCCAGTCTGTGGCTTCACTTCCAAGTCTCTTAACATTGTCTTTCACAGAGCAAGTCCATCTCATCAGTTCTTTATTTCATGGACTGTGCTTTGGTGGTGTATCTGAAGTCATCACCAAACCCAAGATTATCTAGGTTTTCTCTTCTACAAATGTTACAGTTTTATGTTTTACGTTTAGGTCAGTGGCCCATTTTGAGTTAATTTTTTTTTAAGGATGTAAGGTGTTTGTCTAGATTCATATTTTTGTTTGTCACTGTCCAGTTGTTCCAGCACCACTTGTTGAAAAGACTATCTTTGCTTCATTAATATTGCCTTTGCTCCTTTGTCAAAGATCAGTTTACTATATTCATGTGGACCTATTCCTAAGATCTCCATTCTGCTGCATTTGCTTATTCTTTTTTTTTTTTTTTTTTTTGAGGCGGAGTGTAGCTCTGTCGCCCAGGCTGGAGTGCAGTGGCCGGATCTCAGCTCACTGCAAGCTCCGCCTCCCGGGTTCACGCCATTCTCCGGCCTCAGCCTCCCGAGTAGCTGGGACTACAGGCGCCCGCCACCTCGCCCGGCTGGTTTTTTGTATTTTTTAGTAGAGACGGGGTTTCACCGTGTGAACCAGGATGGTCTCGATCTCCTGACCTCGTGATCCGCCCGTCTCGGCCTCCCAAAGTGCTGGGATTACAGGCGTGAGCCACCGCGCCCGGCCGCATTTGCTTATTCTTTTGCCAGTACTACGCTGTCTTTAATACTGTCACTTTGTGGCAAGTCTTGAAGTTGGGTAGTGGCAGTCCTCTGATGTTCTCTTTCAATATTTTAGATCTTTTGCATTTCCATATTAATTTTAGAATCAATTTGTCAATATGTACAAAATAACTTGCTGGAATTGTTACTGGGATTGCATTGAATCTGTAGATCAAGTGAGGAAGTACCGATATTTATTTATTTATTTATTTATTTATTTATTTATTTATTTAGAGATGGAGTCTCGCTCGTCACCCAGCCTGGAGTGCAATGGCACAATCTTGGCTCACTGCAACCTCTGACTCCTGGTTTCAAGCAATTCTCCTGCCTCAGCCTCCTGAGAAGCTGGGATTACAGGCGCACAACACCACACCCGGCTAATTTTTGTATTTTAGTAGAGATGGGGTTTACATGTTGATCAGGCTAGTCTCGAACTCCTGACCTCTTGATCTGCCTGCCTTGGCCTCCCAAAGTGCTGGGATTACAGGCATGAGCTACCGCACCCAGCCAGAACTGATAACAGTAAACCTCCTGTCCATGAATATGGAATATATCTCCAATTATTTAGATGTTCTTTGAAGATTTTCATCCAAGTTTTGTGCATATTTTGTTAGACTTATACCTATGTATTTCATTTTGGGTGTTGCTAACATAATGCTAATGTGTTTTTAATTTCAAATTTCACTTACTCATTGCTGGTATAGGAAAATGATTGGCTGTTATATATTAATTCTGTATCCTGAAACCTTGCTATAATTGCTTATTAGTTCCAGGAGGGATTTTCTGGTCAGATTTTCTACATAGATGGTCATGTCATCTGCTAACAAAGACAGTTTTATTTCTTCCATCCCAATCTGTATAAAATTTCCTTTTCTTGTCTTATTGCATTGACTAAGACTTCCAATATGATGTTGGAAATCAGTGGTGAGAGAGGACATCCTTACTTTGTTCCTGATCTTAAGGGAAAGTTTTGAGTTTCTCACCATTATATCTGATGTTAGCATAGGTATTTTGTAGATGTTCTTCATTAAGTTGAGGAGATTCCTGTCTATTCCTAGTTTGCTGAGAGTTCTTATCATGAATGGGTGTTGGATTTTGTCCAGTGCTTTTCCTGCATCTATTGATATGCTCATGTGATTGATTATGTAAATTGATTTTCTTTTTTTGTTGTTGTTGAGACCCAGTCTCGCTCTGTTGCCCAGGCTGGAGTGCAGTGATGCAATTTTGGCTCACTGCATCCTCCACCTCCCAGGTTCAAGTGATTCTCCTGCCTCAGCCTCCCAAGTAGCTGGGATTACAGGCTCCTGCCACCACACTGGGCTAATTTTTGTACTTTTTAATAGCGACAGGAGTTCACTACATTGGCCAGGCTGGTCTCGAACTCCGGAGCTCAAGTGATCTGCCCACCTTGGCCTCCCAAAGTGCTGGGATTACAGGCGTGAGCCACTGCACCTGGCCGTTAATTGATTTTCAAATGTTAAACCAGCCTTGCATATCTGGGATAAATCCTACTCAGCTGTGGTATATAATTCTTTTTGCACAGGATTTGCTAATACAGATGTTCCTCAACTTTTGTTGGTGTTAAGTCCCAATAAACCCATTGTAAATTGAAAATATAAATCAAAAAATGCATAGTACACCTAACCTACCAAACATCATAGCTTAGCCTAGCCTACCTTAAACACGTTCAGAATACTGGCCAGGCATGGTGGATCACATCCATAATCCCAGCACTTTGGGAGGCCAAGGTTTGCAGATCATAAAGTCAGGACATCGAGACCATCCTGGCCAACATGGTGAAAAGCTGTCTCTATTAAAATACAAAAAAGTTAGCCAGGTGTGGTGGCATGTGCCTGTAGTCCTAGCTACTTGGGAGGCTGAGGCAGGGCAATCACTTGAACCTGGGAAATGGA